ATTTTAAAGACCACTGGGACTGTTCCCTAAGAAAGGTCCTATTTACTTGCTTTTCTAAACCTAAACCGGTGCCTGTTTATCTCCGGCAGTGTACCGAAGACGGGGTACACCCTGGACAGCTCGCCACTCAATCACAGAGAATATTTGAAAACTCATTAAAAAGAAGTTGCTTGAAGATTAAATTTTTTTAATTGAAAGTTTTCCACAGAAAAAAAAGTGGATACTAATTATCCCAAAACTGTTTGTGTTGATTTCTGTCATACATTAATATTGTTAAAAATAAATGTAACGTTTGTCCAAATTAGTGTCTGTAGAATCTTGAAACCTATGATTGTCAAATATAATTTAGTTGATGTACTTATCAGCCCAGGGTTCTACCCTTCCTCCAAAAGATTTTAGCTGTTGTTCACCATATGAACACTAGAGGGCAGAAGCATAGGATTTGTAAATGCGTGATCAATGCAGAGGAAGAAGAAGAAGAAGAGTGACGCACTTCCTCTTAACAAGTAGCCGATGGGTAGTGTAGGTGTTCTCTCTTAGAATAAAGGGCTCCAACTCTAACTTCTTAACTCGACAACTGACTTTAAAACAAACAGCTCAGTATTCAGTAATAGTTCAGGCCTGCTTACAGCTAAATTAGCTATTAGGTTAACGCGTAACTTAGTTTTCTGTCATGGCAAAGGTACAAGTCTTAAATGTTGCTGTTCTGGACAACCCGAGCCCGTTTGGAAACCCGTTTCAGTTTGAAATAACGTTTGAATGCATGGAGGATTTACCCGAAGGTAAGTTTTCTCCTTCTCGTGCTGTCAGTTGTATCAAACGGTCTATTTTCGCAGGAACGTTTACGCGCTTTTATTTAAGTGTTAGCTCAGACGTGAAAATGCGTGGCGCCTCAGTATGTCCCAATTACACCTTTATGTTTTCCCATAAAAACTGTTAGTCGATATTTTAAAAGGATTGGGTATGTTTCTTTATGCGAGCAGTTAAAAATTGGCGCTGGCGCGTTTGTTCTGAGAAGCCCGCTTTCTCCCTTCGCTGATTGGCTGTTGTACCATTGCGTCAGTGTTTCCCAGCAAGATGATTGGCTGGGAGCGTTATATTGGCAGAAACACCGAATTGCCGCGAAACATAAATTCCTGCTGAGAAATTAACTAGTTTTGCCTCCTTTTCAGTCCTACCAACCTCTAATCTTCTTTTCATTCCTATCGCCATTTGTTTAATTTAATATAACTCTATATATAACGAAACTTATCCACTCCTTCATTTTGTGGTTTTACAGAATACATTAATCAAATGGAGCAGAACTTACCCGCGAAATGTATAAAAAAATTTTACGCTCCATCTGTAATAAGTTATTTAGCAAATCGATTAATCTTTCCATTAATAATTGGATAGTCAAAGATTTTTACGAATTAAACCGGGTGAAACACAGAGCATATTGAGAGACAAAACTAATTGTTAATAAGAAATGCAAAATGTTTATATATATATATATACAATTTTGGTATAATTACTGCTCTAATTGGGTTGCTCTGTCAGCTAAAGGCATGTTTTAGAGTCTATACTCCGGTTAACAATTAATCGATAATCGATTAATCGTTATTGTTTCAGCCCTAGTTACATCCAGTCAAACAAGAGTCTGTGTTCCAAACTCTTAACTCAGTAATATGCTGCAGGAATAGGAAAACAGTTTCCTTTGTTGTTCTTTTAAGTTATTGTTTTAAAGGCACACATTTCTTGACCAAATATACTCCGTTTAAAGGATATATAAGAGAAAGTACCAAGGTTACCATGGTAACAAAGACAAACTGAGCTGTTGCTGTAGTGCAAAATTAAGTTAAAGTTTGATAAAACAAAATTTGTCTTGATATATAATGTAGAAAACCTGATTAAAACTATCATTTGACGTTACTTAACTGTTGCAATGAAGTCTGTTGCTTTTCCTTTTGGATTACATTTAATACAATTAATGCGTTTGTGTTTTAATGCAAGTACTTTGATATCAGTTTTTATATTACGCATTATATTACTCAATATTATAGAATTTCAGACTGATTCATGCCAAAAGAGCCCGGGATAACAAAAAAAAGGAAATGTCTCCATTTATATTAATTTATATTGAATGAAATTCTATAAGCATCACTCTGTTGAGCCCACAAGACCCAACTTAATACCCATTTATTAGTATTTTCCGGTATTTTTTGGTGTTAGTTTTCAAAGCTTTCTGCACACTTCCAATGAGCTTTTGTCTTTGACAACATTATATGCAGTGATTGAATAATGTGCTGAAATATAAGCCGTGTGAATTTAAACGTTTGTCCTGGTGGGTGTGGTCCCACCACCTTTCCTCTGTTAGATCTGGAGTGGAAGATCATCTATGTGGGGTCTGCTGAGAGTGAAGAATACGACCAGGTTCTGGATTCTGTTCTAGTTGGTCCTGTACCAGCCGGCAGACACATGTTTGTGTTTCAGGTGAGTACTTGATAGCTCTTACTTCTCTAGTTGGATTAAAATCCCAAATGTATACATGCTTGACAAATAAAAAAAAAAACATCCTAACACCAAATAAACAATGACTGAGGTTCATTACATTACAAATAATAGGTCACATTGTATTAAGAGCTTTTCAGAAAGTCTGCTAATGTACAAAACACAAATAGAAGCAGAATGCCTCTACATGATGTATTTTTCAAAGTCTGTAACTAATATACACAAAAATGTCTATGTATATTAGTTACCTTCTTTATTCCTGAAAGAAAAAAAGAACTCATTAGCTGGCCCAAGTACAGAAACTACGGATCAGAAATTGTCCACAAATATCTGATTGTTGCATGTTTTTAAAAAATCTTAGCTGTTATACCACAGTGCTTAATGATGTATTATGTGGGATAAAGTTTTGAGGTAATATTTTTGTTTGCTCTGTTTCACCCCAATAGGCCGACGCTCCTAATACAGGTCTGATTCCAGAGACTGATGCTGTGGGAGTGACTGTGGTCCTCATAACCTGTACCTACAGAGGACAAGAGTTCATACGCATCGGTTATTATGTCAACAATGAATACACAGACCCAGAACTACGGGAAAACCCTCCATTAAAACCAGACTACTCCCAGGTAATTAGAACAGAGAAGGTTCTGTGTTTTATAAAACACATGAAGAGCGCATTAAAAGGGTCTGATTAAAGACTTCAGTAAAGAGTGGCTCTCTGTTGCCCCCTAGTGTTTCCATAGGTTAAATGCGACAGTTTATTTATTAATTAATTGAATATTTTTATGCTAATTTTAATTGTTCATTTGTGCTTAAACTGGGCTGTGTAATATAATGGAAACATTTATCACCATATTAGCCTTTCACATCGGTCAATATCAATTATTTTTTAAAACTTGTTTTTACTCATTTGAAATAGGGGGCCAGTTTAAACACAATATTTAAAAAGCGCTCATGCCTTACCCCTAACCATTCTTGGCCTGGGCTTAAGTGGTTAAGACGGTTTTGTTTTATTAATTAAACCTCTTAGCTAGAAATCGGCATCAACTGATGCAATTTTTCTTAACGAAAAATTGCATGTTATTGTAGATTATTTTGACATCAGTCTAATCAATCCCTGATATTTGCTACCCACTTTACTTTGGGGCCAATGCTTGATGCAGATGCTGCTTCTTCATCCTCAATTTACAGGAAAAAGACTGTGAAGTAATAACAAATGCTAAAAAAAAAGTATATAAACAAAAATTAACATTTGTTTACGAATCAAAGACTAGAGAAGTACTCTGAGAGCGCAGATCTCCGCCAAACAGAAAATTTTGCTTCATATTGTTACTTCCACCTATAGCTTAAACATCTGGATCATTACCACACATTAATCAACTGTTCCTTGGCATGAGGAGCAATTTATTAAAAGCTGTTTGTAACTTTTCTAGTTGTCCTGTTCGCAGATGGAAAAACAGACACACAAACTCGCTGAAAACATAACCTCCTCTGCGGAGGTAAAAACATTGACAACAGACAGCAAATGGTGGGAGCAGCAGCTTCATTTAAAGGCATGGGTGCTTAATGAGCAAATACGAGTGGCTGCATTTCAGGCTGCCTCAGAATACAGAAGTAAAACCCAGCCTTCTAAGAAAGTCAGAAAGATTTAACTTATCTGAAAAGATTTGGAAGTTAATCAGTTTTCCACCTGGAATCAGTATAACTGTCTTATTACTACTGTCTGTTTGGAAGGATGGACAGAAGGTTCTGATAAAACCCCAGATTCTCAGTTTTAATGGAGGCTTAATGGCTTCTGGTTCCTTGTTTCTGTCCATCAATGGGAGTTCCTCAAGTTTTTTTCCCCTTTTCATAAAATCAGTTCATTTATACATGTAAGGTGCATAAAAACAGTAGTCTCAAAATCCAGCTCCTGATAAATTGTAGCTTTTACTTTTGTAAGATTTCATTTCCTCCCACCTTTAAATCTTTTAAGTTTGTCCCTACTACCTCTTGAAGCTCGTCATGAGAATGCCAAGAGCGTGCGAAGCAGTAATCAAAGTAAAAGGTGGCTCAGGGTTTCCACGGGTCATTAAAAATAATTAAAAGTCATTAAATTAATTTTTTTAAATAAGGCATTAATTGGCATTAACTTCATTAAATGTGATTATTGTGGCATTTTAAATATAACTTTAAAAAAGTCGTTTTTTATTGATTTTATCGATTCGTTGTTGCAGCCCTAATGTATGTGTGTGTATATATATATATATATATATATATATATATATATATATTAGTTGTAAGTATTTTATTTTAGGCTGCACTGAAATGAATGCTACATTAGAAGCCTGACTTAATTGATTTGAATCAATGTTCTGATAATTTATAAAGCTTCAAACAAATTTAAATTATATATATATTTTTTGGCCCAATTTCCCCATCTCTACCTTTTCTTTCTTTAAACTGAAAGCCACACAAAGTTCACGAGTATAACGCGTCCCTTTTCCTTCCAGCTTCTGAGGAATATTTTGGCGTCCAACCCCCGTGTCACCCGCTTCCACATCAACTGGGAAGGCTTGGCCGACAAGATAGAAGACAGCGAAAACGTGGACCCGTCACCGAACACGGGCGGCATGCTCCCCCCATCCTGCGCACCAGGAAAGATGCCAGCTCTTGGACAGATGCCAGACAACTCAATGGATTGCATGTAGGCGTCATGAGACTCATGAGGATGGACAAGGAGCTCTTCTCACCTTAACATTCGTACACATCGTAGTACTTCATAATATCGTCAGAGATGTCCCCTATGTGGACATTTGAAGGACATGATGAGATGGGACATTTTCTCTCTTCTGTGTAGCCCATTTAATGGGATGGGTGTTGCCAGCATAGCTTCCTGTCTTGTCTGCTTTTCTCTTCCCTTCTAACACTCAGATCTGCACAACCAGAAATGCATTTTATTTATTATCACACCTAACATTCTCTTTTTTTTTCCTTTTTAATCCAGCTACATTTTTGGAGCATTTTGAGCAAAGATTAGGGCCTCAGGACACTGATCTCTGCATTGGTACTCCTGTACCACAATAATCTCATTGTTCAGAAACGTCTCATCAGGTGCTCTTTTGTGGTATCAAGGAACCTACTGCTTCTTGGGATGAAATATTAATTTTTATCCTAAGAGGTAATTTTGTGCTCACAATAATAAACCCACCTCTTTAAGCTTTCCCAAAATGATGCCCCATTTGTTGTGTTGGGGGGAAAATATAGCAGGACTTGATGTTTAAAACAGATGCTGTCAAGTTCTGTGACTAAAATGCTCTTTGTAAATATATTCCTAGCGCTTGTTTTGCCTTCTTACTGAAAGGCTATTGTTTTATTATCTTCTCCATATTATTATATCTTATACTTTGTTTTTTTGTTGTTTTTTTTACCAGTGGTGAGGTTAAATAAAATTTCTGTATCTGATTACCACTGCTCCTTGCAGCTCCTTCCTGCTTTGACTCGTGAGGAATTGAAAGCACAGCAACAGCATGCTTTGCTCTCCCCTCCCCTCTCTGGCTGTTTCCTTTTTCCAGTTTCATTCATAAAATGCAGCAGCATCATTTCACCATTTCCACTCCAGCCTCACGTTGCTAGGAAACTGCAGCACATAAAGGAGGGGGGTGGTGTCTGCTCTCGCTTGTTTTATCTTCGTGGCATCGAGTAAGTCCCCCACCCATCCATCTGTTCCCTCCACTTCTGATGTCTACAACATTTTATGGTTAATGAAAAGAAATCGATATACATACAACATGCAATTAGTGAAAAAGTAACCTGTATCAAGTACGATAATGGCTGTTCGCTTATTGCAGTTTAAATGTTGGCAGGTTTCATTCAAGGTTTTTTAACAAACCCAGTACTAGGGCTCTACCTGCAGCTGAATGTGCCTCGTGAAACCAGGTGTAAAAGCTGTTGTCGGCCCATAAAATGTTCACATGTAAGCAGGAATCGTTAGGCATTAATCCTCATGCTTGGTGTGGTCCTTTTAGTATAGGAACGAAGAAAGCAACAGAGCATTAAGCCTATGGTAGGTATTAATAGAGTCTACACTGTTAGAATATGAAACAGTTCAATGGGATATTCAGATGCAAATCTGTGTGAAAAGAACCTTTTGATGCTACTGGCTATGAAGGGCTCTTGGTCATTGCTCTGCCCTCCCAGTAGTCCAGGTGTGGGGTTGAGGTATGGAGGGGGTGGGGGGTTAGGAGTGGAAACACCTGGCATAATAAAGTGTTTGTCTTTTCTAACTAAAAATCCCTCCAAGATGTGTAGATGTCCTTGCTTTAACAGTGCTTTGTGCATATGGCAAGAAGAGTTGTCATATAGTATAATGTTCTTAAAAGAAGCTTGATTTTATGTATTTCTAGTTGGAAATCAAAGAGGCTCTTTACTTTCCAGGGGAAGCATTTTTCTCATAAATTGAATAAAAATTTTACAGTGTCTTATATTTATCTTGTATTTTATAATATCAGGCTGCCGAGTTAACATGTGTCTTCAAGTTCATTCTTTTTCATTTAAAAAGATAATATTTACATCTGGAAAAGCAGTTTTTGTTTAGGTTTATATAACATATATAAGTTTATATACTAAATCCCAGCTTTGTGTTGAATACCAAAATAAAAACACTTTCTGTGTTGAACTTGAGGGGGAAAATGAATCAATAGTTATAGATTCTAATGTCCAAATTTGAATTCACTGTTGACTGGAAAAAATATTATGCAACATAATTCCTTAAAGGCTGTGTCTTTTAACATGTTAAGAGTTCCTCCTGATAGAATTTTATTCCAAAAAACATTTCTTCGTTAATGAAAGGCACAGGAAATGTATGAATAGGGCTTTAAAAAGCATCACTGCTCAAAAGTATCCAGATACAATACTAATTTGGTGTGGTGTTGATACTTCAGATGTTGTTTGCAAATTTTTACAATTGTTAGATTTTGAGAATATTTGCATCATAAAATCCTAATACCTCAAAATATGAGCTAATTGTGTTAGGTTGGGGTTATTAAACATTTATTTGTAAAGTGCTGGTGAAGATTCTCAATCATCCAGGTCATAGTCATTCCATAAAAAGTTCGACGTTTCCAGTGGATTGTTTTTTTTTTGTTTTGTTTTTTTTTACTTTTTAGAATTTATTTTTAAAGTTATTTATCTAATGGTTAAAGCACCTTCAATTTTGAGATCTGAATAATGTGAGTTTTTCATGTTAATGTTTTTTTTTTTGGCCCTATAATAATTTTTTTCTTCTGTTCCCATGCTATCAAATATTTTTTGGGTTTCGATATAAAGTTTGAAATTACTGCTACAACCCCGATGATTAAAACATATAACTTGGAAGAAATTGGTAGATAAATGTAGCAGATTAATAAAAACCAACAAACTTGTGTAACTAGATCAATATTTGACAGAGATGTTATAATAAAGCAGTTCAGTTACTCATTAAATCTGTTAAGCAAATTGCCTTTTTTAAAATGGGGGACAGCAGTTCTATAATATATTTCTCTGAAAGTGAGTTAATTGAGTAATTCCTGACTGTACAGACGTGTTTCTGATTCAAAAGTGGAAAAATGTAAAGATTTGCAGAACAGAGTAAAGGTGTCAAATAAAATTATCTTGAAATGCCGGTTTGTTTTGCATATGAAGGATCTTTAATGCCTTTCAATTTGTAGAAACACTGGCAGATATCTTTTTCTTATGCTAGAAAAACAAAACATTTATTTTGTAGAATGAGGCAAATTAAGTGAGCTGCCTTTAAAGCTACAGTGTGTAACTTTTAGCGACATCTAGCGGTCAGACTGCAGACTGCAGCAACATGAACATCTTTCCCCCAACAGTACGGCGAGCGTTACGGGACAAAATGTCTTCCTCGACGTCCGCATCATCTACCTTCTCAAGTGATGAGGTTTGTTTACATAGATAATTTTACAGATAGTATTTCATTAGTCTGTGTAGGGTATAGATTTCATGTAGACTTAAGATAAAAAATATACCCGTTATTTTTTCTACATCGTTGTGACATTTTGGCGATCTCGCAATCGCTAGTTTGTTGGCTCTGCGCTGCCGTAGCGCAAAGATGTCTGCCTCCATGGCTGCGAGACCCGCTCCTATGTAATTATAAATAACGAATTCTAAGGCAACGCAAATATTAAGGTTAAGAGGCTGAGCTCCTAGATGATGATAAATAACATAGCTATGTATAATATATTACATTTCTGACTGTATATCCCTGTAATTATTACACACTGTAGCTTTAATATGAAAAATCTAAAACTCTGGTTAGCCATCCTAAAACTATGGCTATACTTTTAAAAGAGGCTACCATGTTGATATTCTATACGGATATTAATTGAAAACATACAGGAAAACTTTTTGCATTTCCCTTAATTATTTAATTTCCAGTTTAGTTAGAGGCATAGGTTGCAGACCTCTGGTCTAGATATTAGTTCAATAAAAAATGTTAAATAAGCTTCTCGTCATGTTTTTTTAATTTAAATGTGCTGTGTTTACAATAGGTTTGCGTTGTAAGGAAATAAAAGCTGTTATAAGCATTATCTACTTTTTTAAATGTACTGAGTGATTATTTAGAAAAAACATTGAATATCTCAAATTAAAGTTTTGAGAAATTGTGATAATGTGTTACAACGTCCTGCCATACCAGCGTGCGTTAAATTCTGACCAATATATCTAAAAATAGCTCACTGTTGACGTCACTCAGCCAAACCTGTATCAGTCGCTGGATGCTGGAGGGGAGGGGTGGAGGGGTAAATGAGTTTTCTTTTCTTTTTTTTTCTTTTTTTTCATTATTCTTAAAGGGGAGGGTTGGGCGGGTCCTCCAATCAGTTACTGGTCATAGCCAATCGACGTCTCGCGCTCACTGAGATTCCCACGGTCCCTCTGCCTTCAACCAATGGAGGACAGTGAGCGGAGAGAACGTTGTTGGGAGGAAAAAAAATCACTGACGCTTCTCTCACTAGCTTTTCTGCCATAGCTGTCAGACAGACCATAAGTTTGAGTGATAGGATAGATTAACCAATCAGAGCTCTCCCCATATGACCACTGCTGACGGTTTAGCCAATCATCAACCTGATCTCAACTGTCAATCATCCGTGATTCGCCAAGAGGGCGGGGCATTCGCTAGGCTGTAGTTCCGTCATCTTGCTCGTCTCCGAGGCTACCGGGGGAGGGTGGGGGGTGCGATGTTGATTTGGATGAATACCTGCCGCTGCCGGACCAAGCCTCGGTTGATCAGTTTTTTCAAAACTGGGTTCATCACCGGAAAGAGGGGCGCATCGGACTAAGAGGATTGATCCCTCGAATCGGAAAACGTTGTTTTTTGGGGGGACTGAGGAGAGGTGGGGAGCCGGGGGTGGGGAGGGGAGGGGGGCTCGATCGGCGGGGGCTGCCAGGAGGTTCAGGCGGAGACAGCATCCTCCGTGCTCAGGCCATCAGCGCCGAGCTCGGCCTGAGGGTCCAACTGAAGCCCTATCCGGGGGGGGTGGGGGGGTCTTGAAGAGGATTTAACCCCGGCCTTAGCGGTGGATGGTCGTGGAGGGAGCCGCTTCTACCCGGCCGCTTAAGCAGCATCTGTCGGGGCTTTTTTCCCCCTCCTCCAGAGCAGGTTAGCGGTCCCCTTTTCTGCTGGAGCCAGGAAACACCGAGCAGATCTAAGCGACATAGACCGGCTGGAGGAGGCTGCAGGGCGGCCCACAGATTGCCCCGTTGACAGGTTGTCATCATGGGCAACGCGCCCACAGCCAGAAAGGGCAGCGAAATGGAAAGCGGTGAGTCCTGATTATCAGAAACAACCAGCTTCCATAGAGAGGCCGCTTTTCACAGCAGCTCCATTCAGAACCATCCGCCTATTGGGGCAAATGCTGGCAGGAATTACCAGCAATGTTCCTCTTTTTTTTATTATTATTATTTTTTAACCAGAAATAATTACCAGGCTCTGTTACTCTTCATTGATCGACATGAGTTGCTAAATAATAAAAAGTAAATACTGTTTTTGTTTCTAGTCTTTACCTTTAGAATCGGGGGAAAGAACTGAATGTAAAGTGCAGCAAGCTCACTTCCTCTTGTGCTCAGTTCTTGGCAGGATCGCAGACAGGCTATGTGTCAGATAATTCCTGAACACTCTGTGCCTGTTGCTCTCTGGCAATAGATAATGTTGGCACACACTGCAAACACACCGAGACGAGGCATAAGCGAACCAAGAGGCTTCCTATCACTCAGGCAGACAGGGCCAGCCTGGATGCTGTGGGTTTCTAGTTAGCCCCAACATCAAATCTGTAATCAACCTATGAAAGGCTGACAAATTATTTGCTTTTGTCTTTTTATAGACATAAAAAAATACATTTTCTATTAATATCTTAATGGAATTAATTGACTTAAACCATGTGTTTCTATTGAGTTAAGTACACACTAAAATATTTCACCAAAATTTAAAGATTTGTGAAATTTTATTCCATAACAAATTCCCATTTTCTTTAGATTATTCTAAAACAAACCTACTAAATCCTTACATGATGCATATTCATTAATGTGATATAGCTTATTTATTTGCTGCCTTGCAGCAAGAAAGTTCTGGGTCCGATTCCCGGCCTAGGGTCTTTCTGCATGGAGTTTGCATGTTTTCCCTAAGCATGCGTGGGTTCTCTCTGGGTACTCTGGCTTCCTCCCACAGTCCAAAAACATGACTGTTAGGTTAATTGGCTTCTCTAAATTGTCCTTAGGTGTGAGCGTGTGCGAGAATGGTTGTCTCTGTGTTCCCCTGCGATGGACTGGCGACCTGTCCAGGGTGTACCCTGCTTCTTTATTTGAAATAAATGAATACATTGGTATTATTTTTTAGTAATTATTCTTAATACTAAATACATAAACCTGATGATTATGTAATTAAAATGAATAAGCTCTACGTTACAAAGGAATATTGATCATGTAAGGTTTAATGTTTTCTGTGTGATATATCTACAAAAACTCTAAATGTAAAGACATGAATCTTAAAATTTGATTGAAATACATATGGACTCTTATCAACATTAGTCTAGAGATGGGGTCTTCAACGTTTTCCAGGTCAATGACCCCCAAAGTGATGATGATATGGAGCGGGGATCCCTAATTATATCTATTTTATTAAATTGTGTTATATCAATGTGATATAACACATACTGGTCCTATAGTCACTCTATTACAGATGAAGTAATGTAACGAAAGTAATTTCTCCCTGGGATTATTAAAGTATTTCTGATTCCTGGTTGATGGGACAGGTGTTGTGAATGAAACGGTGCCCAGTTTGAAAGAGCTCCTGTGTGTTGCTGAATGTGAGCATTGATGACTGAAAGACATCTTCTGCCTCCATTTATCTGTTTACTACAGTGTGTTGAATTCATGTTAATGTTTATTTAAAGACATTTCAATTAGTGGAAAAAACTGCAGGGGGGGTTTAAAGAAAAGTCTAATCAACCAAAACTTTCTTGACCCTCATGCAGTACCTCTGTGGACCCCCTAGGGGTCTCGGACCCCCTGTTGAAGACCTCCGCTCTAGAGGTTAAACTCAAAATTGTGTCATTCATGTTTCTCGTACAGTTACTAGACCCCAGAAACGGATTTAATATTCTTTTTGATTTTAATAAAAAGAGAAAAATAAACTATGTTACATTCCTATCTTAGAAAAGCTATTTTAGAGTAGAGGGAGGGCCTCAAAAGTTGAGCTGCAGTTCTCTAGCACCAAAGTAGCACTTTGGTGCTAGAGAAGCATCATAAAATTTTTTTCCCATATCCTTGGACACAGTGCCTTTGCTTATTAACTGCTGCACAGTAAGGTCAATGCAAATGTATAGTTACACAGAAATATGAAGTTCTTGTTTGCTTGTTTAATTTCATTCTAATTAAGTGAGATGTCAAAAACCAGTTTGAATTTCAAACCATTTGGAGGAAGATTTCCGCTAACATTCATATATAACCGCTTAAACAAGCTGCCTGTTCATCAAGGGTAGGTTTGACTCTACATTCAGGTAGTTTGTCGTTGCAGATTTGCACATTTGGTTTAATTTATTTACGGATTTATTTGTCATGCAGGAAGGGAAGAACCCACTCTGTTTTTTATTTCAAGAATTAGCCATTGAAGCCTACAGGAACCATAATATGCCTTTTCCTTATCCAATAATCTTTAAATAGTAATTTTTTTGTTGTCATTGCTATTTTAAGTTCCAATAAAGCTGGTCTTCTGCATTTAAAGCATTACTCTTTGGGAGCAGGGAGCAGCTTGCAGCACCCAGGGAGCATTCTTGGGCTTAGGTTTAGCTTTTGGAGCCAGAGTGGCGAGCGCCTGCTCTTATCAGAATACTACACTTATTTTATGGAATTATTATTTTCAATTATCTAATGTAAAGTTTAATATTTTATTCTGTATGTTTTGTGTATATGAGTATTGATAAAAGTTTGAGCACTCTAAGTGTGTGAGAGTCGAACTACATGCAAATTACTGGTCTGAGCTGTTTTCCATGCTATTTAAAGTTCAACTGTCATGCTACAAATAACAGTGAACCAGGATGCAGGTTTATTCATGCTTTCTGCCGTTTACCTCTAATATGGGCAACTTGTTAGATAGTCCTGTGTCGTCTCTCATTATCCGTAAAAACAAAACGCTGAAGCCACGTTTTTTCCTTCCTCCTACAGTCAAGGAGTTCCTTGCAAAAGCCAAAGAGGACTTCCTCAAGAAATGGGAGAATCCTTCACAGGTTTGTACATTTTTTTTTCTCTACCTATGCTCTGCAAGGATTCTAGATGGTTAGACATTCTGGAAGAGTATAACGCCATCACCTTAGGAAAGATGTGTGCAGAGATTATTTATCTTTTCTCCAGTAGCATAGATAAAAATGGACAAAATCCCACCTTGAGGAGTAATTCTAATCAGGGGCTCCAACAATTAATAGAATTATTAATTATATTAACAGAGTATACAGATGCTAACACAAGAGCAGCCCATTTAGAGCAGGGATCATGAACAAATTGTATAAAAAAATCTATATGAACATCTTTTATTAGATAAAAATGCTTTTAGTCTGTGAAAATGCTCAATCCATATTAGTATTAAATCTTCTATAAGGCACCTTTTGTTATTCTATTATTAAACAATCAATATTAAAAAAATGAATTAGATAAATTGGAAAAATAATTCAACTTATTGTGATGGTAAAAAACACAGAGAATTCTATTCTCCTCAAAGTGCTTGAAAGTACAAAAAAGTAAATTCTAGAAAATGAATTCTGGCCCGTTGTCGTAGCAACCTCAATGTAGTTAATGTTTTCATAGGAAATAAAGTTTCTTTAGATTAACATTAGGGCTGAAACAAATAACCGGATGAACTGTGATTGATCCATTAATCGTTAACTGGAGTATAGAGACTCTAAAACATGCTTTTAGCTGACAGGGACCCCCATTGAGCAGCAAGTAAGAATAATACTTAAAAATGTAGATAAAATTTAGATAAAATTAAGATTAAAAGAAAAAAAAAAACGTTTTCGTCTGTCAAAATGCTCCTTAAGTGGAAAAGTTTGAGTTTCATCTGGTTTCATTTAGTTAAAAATCTTCTTTAAGGAACCTTTTGCTTTCCGATTATTAATTGATTAATCGAAAAAAAAGAATCAACAGATTGATTGATTTGCAAAATAAACGTTAGTTGCAGCACCAATTCACATATAGTATAATCCCCTTCTATCTAAGTCAGGCAACACTTTACTCTCACTTTAGATCTTCTATCCAAATATTGTCTTAGCTCAGTGAAAATATCGAGATCAAGGAGTATTTTTATCAGTAGTTGAGCTTAGGTATGCTGCGTTTATTGACCAGGTTTTGGGGCTTCTGGGTCACTAGAGCTAAAAAAAACAAAAAAAGGCCCAATTCTTGTTATGGTGTATGATATCTATAGCTTTACTAAAACATTAAATTAAAAGTTAAGTGTCTTTTAAATGGTTAAAAATTGGTCATAAATAGTCTTTTAAGTGAGATAAAGTCTCAGTTGTATGTTTGTCTTAAAAAGTTCCTCCTTAATGATATTCAATAAATTGCAAGATGTCCAATCACAAAAATGTCCAAGAAATGGATTCTTGATGCTCAATCAACAGTGGATTGTAATTAGAATTATTATTTTTGCTGAAATAAACAAAAATAAAAGCTTTTGATGCCTAGAAGAAATAATGTCTTTTTGTGTGTTTTCTTTTTGCTAATTCTTTCTGTCTTCCATGTGCTCAGAACACTGCTAGCCTGGAGCAGTTTGAGAGGTTGAAAACCTTGGGCACGGGCTCATTTGGCCGCGTCATGCTGGTGAAGCACAGAGAAACGGGACAGCATTACGCCATGAAGATCCTCAATAAGCAGAAGGTCAGTATCACCAAGGGGATCGTCCAGGTCGCAGGGAAATTAGGGCTGTTTAAAAGTGTTCTATTCATCTGCAGATGCTTCTGTTTAATGTTCTCACCTGTTGCTGATGGGATTCACTGAGTGGATTTGTATGGGTTTAATTTCTGAGGGCTTCAAATGCAGTTGCAGGCTTCTTCATTCACTTGTGCTAAAATAAGCACCATCCAGTGATATTTTTTCTGTATGAAGGCTACAGCAAGTGGAGCAATTTAGTATAAAGTTCCGCCTACATTTCTCCTCTGACAACGAAACTGTACGATTATGAAGGTCTAGTCATCACAAGTCATTTTAGACGCCAGTTTGATTAATTTTTATCCTATACTGAGGCCATATTTTAAATACTTCCAACTGAAAATCTTAGTATTCCATAAACAAATATAGTTTAAAATTAGATTTTAGACTTCAATAAAGGATATTTCTTTTCTAATACATGAAATTATATTGTCAGTGAAGTGTTTTTTTTTTTTTTTGGCCTATATTGATTTTAAAACATTAAGTGTTTGGCCGACCTTGGTAGACGTTGATTGTCTGCTTGTTGCTTTTATTTAAAACAATCTAAGAAATATCTGTACTGTATGAATAAGCAGATGTTCAGTATTTCAATAGGCAGTCATTTTTATTAAGGGGTGTGTCTGTAACTACTTTAGAGTTGTTGTTTGTTCAACTTTACTTTGGGGAATAAATGTAATCTACTATCCTGGACCTTAGATAGAAGGAAGTACTTTGACTGTATTTGTTTTGGTAATGAGAGTCTTAGGTTAGAATAAGAGAGGAAGTATATTTTGGGCTTTTTAAGACACCCTCACGGCTTTGTAATTGTTTACTTTGCATGTGTTTATGGGTTCATTGGTTAAATAAAGGGTTTCGTTTTGGACAAGATCCAAACAGATGGCAAGCACGGATGGGATTTTGCAGGAGACAGAATCCGATTAATGATGCAGAAGTTGACTTCTGAGTTAGAACTTCCCTTCAGCGGTAAAATAAAGAACTGTTTAATATTTTAGCTCTGGTCATTTCGACTGCATTTGAATAGTTCTTGATAAAAATCTCATGTATTTCAACCGGTAAAAATCTGTACTGGATTTTGAAACTTTTTTCTAAATATAAATTCAGTGTATTTAATGTCATTTAGGGCACTTTATAATGGGGAAAACATGACAACCGTATTGTATGAACCATGCAGACCTGGCCTGATTTATTCTACAGGTGGTTTGTTCAGATAAAACTACGGCCAGAATAATTCATACCCTGGCAGATTTAGATCTGAAAATACTGTCTTAGAGTTTAGCAGGCTGACACTGTTATTTATTGCCCTAGTTTTAGCTCCCTTCTCTAAATATTTTTGGTAATCATTTATTTGTTTAATTCATAATTGTCATACTAATGCATTAAATAGGACAAAAGACATGGAACATAGATAATATAAATAAATATTAATTCAAAAGACAACAGATTTTCATGCAGGAAAACCACAGGTAGGTCAGGATGTTACAGTATCTTTAAGACTGAGCTTAAATTAATAATGGTGGTCTAAAGGTCTGCTAGTGCAAATGTGTTATAAAAACAAGGTACCAGTGAGGTTTAATTTGGACAACTTGTCTCGATTTAGTTTTAATCATGGTGTTATGACCAAAAGTAATTTTCTTTTTAGTCAGAATTTAGTAAGGCCCAAATTTGGATAATCCAGGTCCAGAAAGCAAAGCTCCTGTACGGATATTGGTTCCAACATTTTGCATTTTCAGCTCCACTGACTTGGGGTGTCACTCCCCGATTTGCACATGTGCAAGCAGATATTCACCCAGGTCGTCATAAATAATATAATTATGGTACTAAAAGGGCTTATTTCTACTCTTAAATCACCAAAGTATAATAATGCAAACCTTTAAAAAATGTTTTATGACTTTTCTTAGGTACTTTGATGCGTTTTACATTCTTTTTAACTGCTTGACTGACGTCATGATTGGACATGCTCAGAGCAGTCCAGCAAAACATGATTAAACCATTTTTATCTGCTTTAAGTTGTTTCTTTCTTTAGATTAAGTACTATGTACCATAATGTTAACACGAAAGGAAAACATAAAACTTGGGTTCTTGCAAAAAAAGAACCCCAAAAAAACTGCCCATTCCTATGGGGTGGACACGTTCTTCTGGTTGAATTTGCATGTTTTCTACTGCTAATGCTACTATATAAAGCTTCGTACTCAACACTAATTCTGACGTTTTTAATTGAAAAAGGTTCCGGGATGGGAAGCAAAACATCTTCAAACTTGGAAATGAAGTCCAGTGGATTGTTTTTGAAGTTTTTTGGATTGACTATGACCTGGAGGACTGAGAATCTTCCCCAGCATAGTAAAATTGTAGTTTGAGGGATCCCTGTTTCTAATCATTCACATGAGATTTGATCAACCACATTATTTTTAGATTTTAAACTAGGAAACAAATGCAGCTTATAATTTATACAAAACTTGAAACAAGCCAAGAACGCTACAAAGCAGGTGCTAAGACT